GACTTAAGAAATAAAGGTGTTGTAGGAAATTTGCCAAATATTAAATTTATATGAATTGTACAACATCATTTTATTTGAGATAACGGAGAAACGTAACAAGTTTTTGATAAAAGTTTTAACCTATTGTGTAGAACGTTGGAAAGTTTTTAAATATTAAGACCAAATTATAATAAGGATAAATATCGTCTGATTATGTACGGGGTTTGTGGGGGGCCTACGGATGAGCTTTTTTAAAAATTGTTTTAGACATTGGAGAGCCTGTGCATTCTTGAAAAATTGTGGTTGTTGATGACAGCCTCCAGTAATTTCTAAAAATCGTGGAGGTCAGTGGGAAATTGCTTCTGTTTTGTTACCAAGACGTATGACTAATCACAGAATTTTAGACTATATTAAAATTTAAACATCATTTTAACAGCCTTTTTAGAACGTGAATCAGACAAAAAAAATTAGGTGAAGTAGATGTTAAAATATGGTATATAGTGTCAATAATTTCAAAAAAAGGTTTAGAAATAGTAGATAAAACGTTGGAAGATTTGTATGATTATAATTTACCTTTTGGAGAAAAAATAATAATATTAAGCCGTGATTTTAGCAAAATTTTAGCGGTTTTAAGAAATAGCTGAAATTCAGTAATATAGAAGAAGAACAAAATCCTCTTTCTTATGAAAACACTTTAATATTTTTACTTTAAAAAAAAAATCAAAGATTACTAGATGAAACGTTTTCTTCGTTCTCATAAGATTAAAAAGTAGATAGAATTGGTTCGCTTACAATACCATACAAATGAAAACCGAAAGACATTTACAGGAAAACTTTTGTTTAACAAATATTATTTTATAAGCCAAGTTATTCTAACATTATATAACTAATACACTCAATTGCTAAGCAATACAATATTTAAAAGTATAGAAGAAACTGCTACATTCTAATACACAATTGATAATGCAACAGCAAAAGGAACAGATAAACCTGACGAAAATATAAATTTTAATTTTTAAGTTAAAGTTCTAAATGCTATTGATAAAGGCTTTCTATCTAATAAGACAAATTAAAAATAAATTTAGAAGTAATGTTAATGAAAAATTTAAGCGTAATAAAAGAATTATGTAACGGAACTCGTTTACGCACAACAAAATATTAAGGCTCATATCATTACGGGAGAAAACAAAGAAAAAATAGCTGTTATACCTAGAATTCCTTTAAATACTGAAAATAATTTTTGTTTACCATTTATTTTACATAGAAAAAAATTTCTATTGATTTTGTCTTTTGTATGGCAATACATAAATCACAGAGCCAAATTTCCATTCCGTAGAATTATATTTTAAGAAATTTTTATTTTCCCCATGGCCAATTATATGTAACTTTATTTCGATGCACAAGTCCAAAAAATATGTTTGTTCAAAACAATTCTTAAAATAGATCAATAATCAACAATATCATCTGGCAGAAAGTTTTTTTAATTTAACCATATTTGTGATGAATTTTCATGTCATTGTCATGTCTTCGTATCAAACATCAACTAATTCAAAAAAGTATTATTCACACAAAACTATCTGTTATAAGACATACTATAGCTTTTAAATATTTAATGCTATTATATTTTTGGTAATCAAAATTTGAAATGTAACTATTGCATTATAAGATTTAAAGATTACTATTAAGTAACCAAACATATAAAAATTCATACAACAGAAAGTTGTACTTGTAACCATTGAGGAAAAATAATCTAATACAAGGAAAATCAAAATAAACACTTGAACTAGCACAAATTAAGAAGAATCCATTTATGTGACACCTACACAAAACTTTATAAGAGAGTTAATCACTTAAAAAGGCACTGCTAAATGCATAAAAAAATCATCAACAAAAATATTTTTCAACGATGTGGAAGAGGATTTTTATGGAAAGATGCTCTACAAAGACAATAAAACTAACACAAAATATAGTGTGTTATTTTAAATTTAAATAAAACTCTTTTGAATTATCAACATACACGTATCACTTCAAAATTCATTGACTTATATACTGTTTTATTTTTAAATAAATTTGTTAGAAAGGATATTTAATACTGTTATTTTTTAATATTATTTTAATATGAAAAAACTTGAAAGCGTGGTTTAAAAATTTTGTTGTCTCACGTATGTGTGAAATGTATAAGGTAGAGAATGGGTAGTGAAAGAATTGTTAGAGAAAAACGCTGGGGCAGCGTTAGGAAAGGTATGGCAGCGTAAGGAAGTTTCTATTTAGGTCAAAAATGAACGTTAAACATGGGGAAGGTAAGGGATGGGTGGGGAAGCATGGGAAAAGGTGGGAAAGCAAATATTAGAGTATTGTAAAATTGACTATGAAATTGATATGTGTGTGTGTGTGTATGTGTTCGGGGGGGATATCCTAGAAAAATGTCCTGTAGCACTGCTTTATCTTCTATCAAACAGTATTATGTGTTAGTAAATATCGTTTTAGGACATTCATCACACATAGGTTTTGATAAATATTATTGAAACATCCAAATTATATTTATTGTAGCATAAAAAGTACTAATAAAAATTGCAGATCAACTAATTGTATGGTTTTTAATATGTTTTACATAGAAAAATCTGAATTTGACTCGTGACCTGATGCAATAATCTCATAGAGTTGCATTTTTAAGAAAATAATCTGCAGAAGTTTACCAATTATAAAGTTATACTTCTATAGGTGCGTTACGTGTAAAGGTAAATCAACAATTTTAGATTGGTAACCTTGAAAAAATGTGTGATAAAAGTGAATTTTACAGGTTACTCCTCCTTCGTCCCACCCCCTGTAACGTACATTCAGTTTCCTCTACAATACATAACGCCACCACATCGACCACACCACATATTTATAATTTTATGAATTTTCCTTTTTTTTTTCTTTTTATTGATTCTTAAAAAGAAAAAGAAAGTTTTCGAAGAGATTTAAACTTCTGACCTCCTGCATACTAGCTGAGGCTCAGTCTGCTGTGAACGGTCCCGATATAATGATTTTGATGATTGCATGTTATCGTGTAGTTCAGAGCTTGTTTTTGATATGAATATTCGTTAACTGTATATTTATTCAGTGGTTTTCATGATAAATCATATTATTAGAAAATAACTTATTTGATAATTTAATTCATGATGTTGAAACTTTTGATCAAAAACTTAACAATAAGTATATTTGAGCAGAGCAGCTGTCACATGTATTATAAAATAACTATTAACTTATAACTTGTTAGTATAACAACCAATAAATAAGTGTTAGTACAAGTTTTTCATATTCCTCCAAAATTTTCAAAAATTATAAAGAAATTTTTTTTACTAACTACGCAACGACAGCGGGTGCGTTCAGGCACGGCCATACGGCGATGGAGATAGTTGAACGTCATTATGGAAAGCCTGAGCACCTTCTTACGGACAATTGAGCAACAATCAATCGAAAAAGTTACGATTTCTGGAGCGTAAGGATACTACAAAGGTTCGTACTTTCGAGGAGGGGAGCACGAAAAGTATATATGTTTTACATGCTTGAGTACCTAATAATAAAAAAATAATTACTATTTTAATATCAGATTCTTTAAGACCTATTGAAATTAAGAGTACTTTAATTATCTCAGTTACTATTATACTGATTTTAGTAACATGCGAGTTACAAGTTTTACTGCTGCAGGTGGTTCCAAGAGCCACGTATCATTTTTCCCTGCTTCTAGGAAATAAAGGGCCACGTTTCTCCTCGGTAAAAGAATCGCATTTTCTGCTCAAAAAGACATGTTTTGAAATTTTTCATGTTTTTCACCCTTAGCTTTGGCTCAAAAGGTGATTTCTATCAAAAAATCACCGAAATACTTTTTTGTCAATAATAAAACAGCATGTCAGGGAAACAAATGTAATCAAAAATACTGTACAAGCCGTTGCAGGCACCCCCAGTTACAGATGAAATCGAGTCAGTAAGTTTTAACAGATTATATCAAAAAATGTGACGAGGATACCTCGTAGCTGGCTATAAAAAGCAGACGGTGGTTGTGGTCAGATCAGTAGAAAGTATACTATACGGTCATCTCGCAAGAGCTCATTGGGAGAGTGAGATGAGCGATCGGTTGACAAAATAGAGTGACTCGTGGGGGGGATGGCTTTTAAACCAGCATCAGGTCGAATGGTCAATACTTCCCTAATTAACGGTGAATACTATTCTTACTCGAAAGGTTATGTAACATTTTTATCCCTGAAAGCATGGAAAAGTGTGTTTCACTGATTTTAATTATCTGCTGGCAATATATATGTTCAACAGGTGTATAAAATTAAAGGAGATATTAGAGTTTGTCAAAGTGTCCATGGTGAGAAAATTAGTCGACTTATGTCGTTCTCCTCTTCAACAGTGGTAAGTTCATTGAAATGATTGTAAAATAAGAAGCTTATTTTATTTCATTAAAATGTTTCTAAATACTCAAATTTATTGTAGGCAGTAATTTAGTAAAAAATTTATCAAGAACGAGCATTTGCATGAGTGTACCGAAAATAGTAAATTATATACATAGAGTAGCTGAAAATCATGACTCTGCTGGCATAGATACAGTTTAACTATATGTAAGAGTAGTCGCGGTGGCGCAACGGTAGAATTGCAGTTCCGTCGATCTCCGAGGTTAAGCTGCATTCGGCGCGGTTAGTACTTGGATGGGTGACCACTTGGTCACCATTTGAGTCTCGCCGTTTCGCCTGTGCTCTTGATTCTCGAAGGTCGATTAACTGTTTCTCTAACGCTTCGTCTACGTGATCATAGGTGTGACTGAGTTGGTCCAGATGTTTATGTATATGAATATAAACATCTGGTCATAACTCAGATGCACCGGTGGCTAATTAACACTATGCTTGTGTAAAAAAATGCCATGTCTGAGCCTACGGGCGATGATGAATAAAAGAAAAAAAAAAACTATATGTAAGTGTTTACCGTGGGTAGTGTCAGTTATAGTTTTATAATGCGAACAAAATTTGTATACTTACTGGAAACTTGTGCGAACGACGATGGGCTGTCCAAAGAAACTTCTGACAGATTTGTCCATTAATGAATGACTTTTGATGAAATTAAGAGTCAGATCAGGCAGTGTACGTGAATCGTTGGCACACTGACCAGGCCTAGGATCTGGTACCTTAGAACTAGGGACTGGCAACCAGTTAGAATTCAAGGCACTCTGCTCTTTGAAGTTACCTTCAAATGTATCACTTATATCTTGAAGCGAAAAAGCGCACACTGCTGATCCACTTATACTGTTAACAGGTGTTGTAAAAGTGCCGTAGATAAGTTGAGCCCCGACACCACCGTAAGTGCCTGTTATTAGCTCTGTTGTTGATTCTGCAACAAGTTTTTTTTTTTTGATAATAGGAACAAAATCTTTTTACTTTTGTGTAAATATTATATATTGCAGTTAGAAAACTCTTGTAATAATAGATAATAAATTTTTTTTAAATAACCAAAGTGGTTATGCTATTGCGTTTGTTTGCTATATCATCATGACTTTTTGGCCAGTCTAGAACAAAATTCTGTTCAAAGTCTCTATGAGATACAATAATAGCTAAAAAGGACTAACTATGTATAATGCTCGATTATATAGCAAAAATACACGAGCTGAAACGTTGTGGTAATCTAATAAGCTTATCAGATAACATAGTCACTTTGGCCATTTTTTTTTTTTAATTTCGTACAATCGACTAAAAATAGTAAAAGACTGAGCGGCTCAGTCGGGAAAAGTTTATAACTGATCTTACAGAAAGTTAGTGTATATGTCAAGGGCTATAATACACACCCTGTGTCTTAATTCGAGCTCTAAATATCAATTAGAATGCGAGTTATTGAATTTTCAAAAATGGCCAAAAACGACAGTTCCTTGCAATTTTCGAGAAATTGGCTTTACTGATTAGAGCTTAACGTTGCTTATTTTTTTTTTACTAGAATTGTGCAAATTTTTTGTATTCAACCTTTTTTATATGATTTTTAGTTTTTTTTCCTAGGCACAAAAAATCTGGTTAGGCCAGTTTTACCATTTTTTAGACCTTTGATGAACTTTTTAGATGTTTAAAAGTAGTACAATTTGTTATAAATACAAAAAAATAGCGATAAAAATTTTTTTTATGCTATCATTTATTTCCCGATCTAAATAGCTAATTCTATCGCATTATATCTGGCATTAGCATTTACTGAAAGCGGCTCATCTAGTATGGATAAAATCACTGAAATAAATTCAACGAGAAACCTTCACTATTCACGAAAGAAGCTCGTAAATGATAGAGTTAAAAGTTTTTCAAAAGTTGAAAATGACAAAAATGTTACCATGCCACGTTTTATACCCAAGCATATATCTTCATCAACCTTCAACAACATTATCTTAGTGCTAAAGCCCTCTCGAACGCTTCACTGTATTGGTAACAACAAAGGGTTCTGCTTCACATAGCTCTATACTCTTCAGATAGCAAGGAAATCAAGCATCGTAGCTAAATGAGTAAGATTAGCAACCAGGTAAGCGTCAGATACATTAGTTGGGTGAGGCATCTTGGAAAAAGGTATGATCTTTTCCAGAGCACTGGATTAGTGCATGTGGTAAATAGTTAACTAAATAGGTACATTAGGAGAGAAAATTCAAAAAGATAGTGACAAACAAAAATGTACAATGACAGACCATTGAAACTGTGCCCCTTAGTTTTCCCACTGCAGTACATAGTTGCTTGGCCAACTAAAATGCAGGTTGTTGGTGCAAACGAAGAATCCGATCCAGTGAACCTATCACAAGATTTTGTGCAGCTTTTGATCGCTGCAGAGAGGATAGACACAAGACATAGAAGTACTGCACAACATCATTAGCAGAAAGAGAATGAAACGGTAACTTACAAGTCTGCTCAAAAAGTCTATATCAACGCATGGTTTGACAGCATTATGTGGGAATTTCTTTTTTTTCTAAAGCTATTTCTAGGAATCTATCTTAGGCTATGCAGACATTTTTTTTAATTCTGCATGCATTCAGTGGTAATAAGTGAGCTGTATATCGTTACCAGTTCTTGTCATCATATAACATAAACGATCGCCTATCTTACACTATTTCTTTAGTAATTGATTAATTAAGCACAGAAGCGAACCACTCTTTCTCATAGATAACTGAGCATTAAGCCTATTGTTACATCCCAAGTTGATCCGAGTTATAGTCTAACTAAAAACTATCCGTCCGTCAAAATTTAGATAAGTGGTGTTGTGAATATAAAGCAAGATCATATGACAAGAGGAGCTCGTACATCGCTTACGTGTGCGCGTGTGTGTATTAGCTTTAAGGTACATGCTTCGTAATATGCTGACATAGAATACGGCCAGCCTCGTTGTAAACATTCATATATGTATGAATGAATAGTTACTTGGTCATTAATTTTTCAATTCTGATAATGTATACTCATTCGAAATTTGTAATTCACGCATTACTTCATAACATTCAGAATTGATTATTAAATCTTCACAAGGACTAACTTCAAAATTTGTAAACTTACTGTCACAATTGAACTTGTATTTGGCGTTCTTATATTACTGCTGCGAGTTCTCATCATCACTGACCCAAAAACTCAATCGCACTTGTCAGAAAATGCGATTGGTACTGTTGTATTGTTATTTCGTAATATGTAAAATCATAAAATGTAACATCATCGTGCAACTGTCAACGCAGTCTGCAAGAACATCGCTCATTGGTTGACCTAATTCAACCAACAGCCTCTTTTATTCGCTCTGATGCTATAAAAACGCACCATCAAGAAGAAAAATTGCTCTCTTTACGCCTGTCACCAGTCCTCTAAAGTTTTAGTCAGCTCTTAACTCTTGCGACTCGTGAGTACCTTATACACGTAAGGCATAATGTGTTGGCTGAGGCAACTCGAGTGCGTATCGAGAACATCAATGGTATCGAACTACGCTAAGGAGCGAGGTACAGCAAAGGAGACCTACCGAAAGTGATTCCGGCGATAGCAGAGAAAGCAGAAATCGCAACATCCTACTGGCCACAAACCCATTCGTGTAGTTTAAGGAAACACTGACGGTTACAGCACGAAGCATTAGAGAACTCTGAAGCAGTAGTAACAACAATCAGTGATAGATGTAAGTTATTAATCAGTAAAAAAATTAACTCTGAACCTTGTTAAAGTGACTCGATGAAATTGTATTTAAAAGAACAAATTATTATTAAATTGCTATAATAAAGAAATAAATTAATTAAAATTATCCGTATTATTCAAATAAAGATTATTATTCAAAACAAAAAAAACAAATAAAGCTCACGAGCTGAATCCTAAGAGACCCACGAATGACACTTAAATAAAATAGTTAAGACCATACTCTGAACAAGTTCGGTCATAACACTATTAATTACTTTTTTGTGGAATCTCTAAGGGCAGATGACACCATCCTTATCCATACAAGTACTATTTAGATATTTATCTATCCCTGCTGACAATTGGCGACATCCCTATTGATTTTTTTCATAGAAAAGTAACAGAAATAGCAAGCTTTTTGAGACATAACATTTCAAACCAAGGAAAAATGTAGTTAAATAGAGATAAACGAGCCATTTGTGAAAAGGGCGTCTGACGATCGTGGGGACAAGACTTTCTCATCCAAATCTACCAAGACCACGCTCAGCCAGAAATGGGTCGTATTATGATGGTGTGTTAACCCAAAGGGAACAAGTTACACAAAATTTTCAATAATTGGATTATGTAAATGAGACGAGTAACACTCCTCTGAAAGCACGGTTAAGTTAAATTCCCCGTAATTATAACACTCGAGAATCCCATAGTAGCACTCTAAAGAGTGATGAAGAAATCCGTAAGCGCGTTACTTTTTGGGCACTGGACAACTGAGGCTAAAAGAATACAGTGGTCCTGTCAGAACATAAGGTTTAGCATCAGGTACTCAGTTTCATTTATCCTTAAAACTTGTGGGGACTCGATTACACTATGAGAAATATCCTTATGTACGTAGCACGCTTCTTCATCACCTTGAACATACTCACGTCATCTTCCTACCGTAATCAGACCGGTATCGTTACGTACAAATTTCTAACTTCATATGCTAAGTAAAATGGAGAATTAATCAGAAGTGATCCAAGTCTCAGACATCGTCAGCACGTTGATATCAAAGTAATGGAGAAAGTATTGAATGTCATGCATATGCTCTTGTAAATAGTTTATATTTGATTGAGCTATACGAAAAAGTAGGTACTCCCGAAAAAATGTGTGACTGAGAGCACGTGATAGTCATTGTTACGAATTAAGTCAGCCTTTATACTTTATCTCAGTGATTCTTGATTTTACTGCACATACACCTCACAGCCTCAGTGCTTATCTAATACGTTTAAAGAAAGTCCTTACAGCTGCAGGAAAAGCAATATTTTTTTCAGAAATTCCCGTGAGTCTATCTTATAACACACCAGTGCCCATGTAATATCTTTAGCTGGCAAGAAGTCACAGGATCCCTCTGCTGATCTCAACCAAACGCTGGAGTACGGCTGTAAGTTGCACATTCTCATTACGCAGCCAGCTTAACTCGTCCGAATTTTTGTTTTTCCTACTTTTAATACACTGCAGTCTACTATTGATTTTAGCTGAGATGTGAGGGCTCTTTGTTGCCAACTTCGTAAAGTTGTAATATATTGAGTTTTACAAGGTATTGCGACCTTGGATAGCCCTAAAAAGGACCAGTGAGCAAAACTCTTTTTTAAATAAACTTTTCAGCAAATGTGACTACCTGGATATCTGAATAGAAGCATTTTCTAGCTGTTGCTAGTTGTTTTCTGTTGTAGCACCAGACTGTTTGCGAGAAAAACCACAACATTCTGAAGCATTAGAGCTAGATTTAGTGTTATTTTTCAGTAATGTCTGATGTTATGCCAGAAACATTAGCATCCAAAGCTTCTTCCTTTGACCGCGAAGCTTAGTCATTTTGTCAATCCAAGGCGGAGATTCGTTTGAGTAACTTGTCTGTTAAAGACTGTTAAATTTGCTCAAGTTTGTTCTTCCTTTATAGCTTTACTTTTGCATTCATCGTACTCATATCTCAAAAAAAATAAGTAATATCTGATTCAATGCAGGTTGTCAGTGGTCAAGGTACCAAGCCTCACAGTAATAAACTCCACTAGTAAGGTTTGCCAGTAAATGACTGACTTAGATTAAAAGTTTTCTAGAACTGATCAAAGAAACCTGAAGATATGACTGATTTTACGTTGGATTAAACATACACACACACATAAATACTAATAATGTTTCCACTAATCAGTGTAGTAAAAAAAATATAGCATCAAAATGTTTGTGACAATAATAAAGGGCTCA